TGTTGACATTAACTCCGCCCTCCAAAGCCAGCGTTTACATTAGTATGGCTAATAATAGCAGAAGCTTCGTTGTACAACCATATGAGACCCAGAGGCAGAGTCGTGGTCACAGCTTTTTTTCTCCCCCTCCTCTGCTCTGTGCTCACTCTGCATGCTGTTACCAGGGCAGGGAGCAGCAGCGGTGAAAATACCTCAGAAACTCGAACAAATAGGCTTTAACAAGGCTTTAATAAGCTAAACAATAGAGGTACATGAGAAAACGTGTTCATAACGAATAAAAATAAAAAATTAAATTGTGTCCATGCCGGTCTCAAACCCTGGTCTCCCACTCTCTGGTCCAACACTCTACCCATTGCCCTATTGGAGGCTTGTTGTGAAATGAGCTACACATTACACAACAACATGGTGACGGCTTTTTATACTGAGGAGGTGGAGTCTCACCTGGGGTTTGGTAGGTAAGGGGCTGAACACAGGTTCAGGTGGGTTGTCGTACGGCTTGTGACATCACAAAATAACTGAAGTATAAAACTTGTCTTAATATACATTAAAAATACATTAACTTATAGTAAATATGCCCGTGGTGCATTTTTTGGTCCTAGGACTGTTTTTTTAAGAAGTACATACCCAAAGTTGAGTAAAAAAAACCTTTAAAAAGTGAATTTTGCATAACAGGTCCCCTTTAATGGCTTTTTTTTTAAGTGTTCATTACTTTTACTGTTATACTTTAAGTAGTGTTAAACCAGTTTTTTCATACTTTTACTTGAGTAAAAAGCTTGAGTTGATACTTTTACTTCCAAAAAAGTATTTTTAAACCCTAGTATCTATACTGAATGTGAATACTTTTTGACACCTCTGGGCAAACCCCACAGGGACAACCAGTTTAAAGGAGCCCCAACAATCCTATAAAGAAAAATGGCCAAACCTCAGGTAGAATTATGCCAGAAGCGTGTTCAAGGATATAAAAAGGGCCCTGCATGTTTTAGATGTTTCCCTGCTTTAACACAGCTGATTTGATTAGCAGGCTTTTGTTGAACTGCAGTCGTCTGAATCAGCTGTGTTAAAGCAGAGAAACTTAACATGCTTTACATGTAAAACTTGCAGGGCAGTGTGGAGGTCCAGGACTGGGAAACACTGGCTTAGAGAAACAATGACATACAGAGTCACACATTTCACATGCCTTAGCTAGTCTCTTTTGAAAGTTTGATGAAATAAGTCTTGTGGTACCTGAGAGGGCTCAGCTGCTGCCTGAGGAGTCTGAACGGCCTGCATCACAGGAGCAGGTGGGGGGCGGGTCTGTGGATAGACAGGCCTGTGGCTGGAGGCCTGAACAGAAAACACACACATTGATTATCAGTGGTTTATATAAGAACACATTTTAACAAACGTTTTGATGAGAAAATTATAAAAACGCCAGTTGAGTCATATAAAGTCCAGCTTTCTTTTTAAACTTTGAAGGATGTTCCTACAATGAAGTATCTCAGAGTAATAGAACTTTAAAGTGGACCAGCTTTTTTGAAGAGGAATTTTCTTTTTTTGCATTTTTCTGTGAATTGATACAACATATAATGTCCTGCTATCAAAGACACACAGCACACTATTTCAAGAGGATCTAAGGGGCCAAGCATCACTTTCTGCTTGGCCTTCAGAGGACCAGGACGTGCTTTTGTTCTCTCTACAACCTCCCCCCCCCCCCTCTTTTTTTTCGCTTCTTCAAGGTTTTTTTCCGCCTACAATCTAAAACTAAAGGAATCATGGATTTGGTCAATTGGTCTCTGAATGCAATTGTCTCTGTTTTTTCCACACTTGGAACGAGGGGAAAGTGGCTGTCTGGGTGGAGCGGTTACTGCTGGACTTGTCTGATTCCTGGGGCTGGAATCTGATATGCCGGCACCACTTTCCATCGAAGACGTGAAAAATTTATGTATATATTTGGATTAATGATAACTGGATTCCTGCTGATCGGCGGAGGAGGGCTCCAGGTTTATCGAAAAGTGAAAGCGACCCTGACAGTGGTTCGGGCCTTTGAGGAGCTGTTGGGCGCACTTGAAGGATTCTGCCGGGCTGGTAGCACATAGACTCTGCAGCTGGGGGGAAATAATTCGCTAACTGGATGTGATTCTGACGAGGATCGCAGCTCAGGTGCGACCCTCCTGCATGTAAGGACTACATCTATGGAAGGATTATCCTGACTATAATCAAGAGCGTATATTTTCAAATTGAGAGCAGAATAATATGTTTTTGCTCTCAAAACTTTAAGTATTTGTTCTCAAAACTTAAAATGCTCGCATTCAAAACTACTGCTCTCTCTCAGAATTTCTCCTCACGCTCAAACTTTCTCTCTGCACAAACCCAAACTACGCTCACAAACTTCACTTTTCTGCTTGTGGATCTCTCCTGCGCTCTCACGGATCAGGGAATACCGTATCCTAGCAACCGTTCCCGCCAATAGAATGAAAGAATTAAAGTGGGTTGAGACAGCCTGCTCCGGGTGCGTTTGTTTTCTTACACTGGACGTGCCTGCAGCCTGTGTGTTGCTACATGCTGTATCTGTTCTTCCTGAGACCCAGTTCGTGATTAACCAACCGACTGGAGCAGCAGAACTCTGACTAAAGCAGCTATGGTAAGTGCAGTAAAATGAAATCTGAATAAATTTTTCGTTGGGGTATTTTTGTAATTATGATGACCAACTATCAGTTCGCCATTAGCCGCTAGCGGCTAGCTGCTAGCATAAATGGTTTGCTTAAAATCTCATAATTAAAAAGGATAAAATTTAAAAAACAAAATGCTATTACAACCTCTTCATCAACAGCTAATACCTAACATGAGAAGAAGAAATATAACTGGTTTAATCGTTAGCTTTAGCCACGGTTAGCCAACCAGCTACAAAGAGAGCTAGCTATGCATCCAAGGAGGGCCCTATGGGCAGGATTAGATGGAGCAGTTAAATGTTCAAGTCTTGTGGAGTGAAAATACTTCTCATTTTAATTTTGGAAGTAAATAAATACATATATATTAGAATTAAAAAAGGAAAGTTATAAAACAAAAATAAAACCAGGTTAAAACCAAGTACCAGAATGGTACCAGTACTGTAGTTTGAGAACCAATGGTTTATATTGTATATTTATCCTAATATACATTACTACAACATTACTGTTTTTTTCAGTTGCTTTATGTTGTTTTTATCAATTGAAATATATACACTGCCTGTCCAAAATTAAAAGTCACCACCAAAAATTAATATGGACCACCTTTAGCTTTGATTATGAAACTCATTTTCTGTGGCATTGTTTGGATAAACTTCTGCAATATTACAATATTTATTTCTATCCAGTGTTGCCTTAATTTTTCACCAAGATCTTCCTTTGATGATGGTAGAATTCAGATTACAAATTCATTCGGATCAAGCTGATCGGGGTGTTTATGATGCATTTTTATTTTGAATGGCTGTTTAATCTGATTATTGTGTCCATGTAAACATAGCTTGGGAGACCACTCCCTGAACAGTTCAGTGTTGACTAGTTTAGTTTTTGTTGTACTTTGTTTGGTACACTCAGCATGACCTGTAAAGTTTTATTCTCTTTTACAGTCTTTGCCATCTATAAGCTCAGATCTAGGCTGGGCTGAATTCACCAATATTTACTAAATGTGTTGCGAGAGCCTCCAGGAGGTGACTACTTGCACATGTAAGTTATGACTAATTACCATGTTTGTTTGTTACCTGGTTTAGTAATTTAAGTTATGATGGTTTTATTTGTTTTTCTGCTTTTCTTAAGGTTCTGAACTCCACATGCTCATGGTGCAGAGGTGAATCGACTGCGTCTGGACATACATCCAGCTTTGAACACAGTTCATTCTCTCTTCCTGAAGATTTTGTCTCTGGTGAGTTGATGAAAACTTTTTTGCCACTGTGCGGCGTTAGCTGACTGCTCTGTACCACAATATGATATTTTGTAGCCAGTGTTAACTAGTTGGTTGTATTTAACTGCAGCTAGCCTGTTACCATGACAGGTTTAAACAGGACTATTTCAGTTTGTTTGATTCAGATTTAAAATATCCAGCACAGTTTAAATTTTGAAAGTTGACAATTTCATAAGCTTAGTAGTGTTTACCAAACTGTCTCAACTAGAAAACATGTTTAGCTTTTGTTGTATGAGATTGATGTGATTAATTTAGTTCAAGTTATAGATTCTTCATCAGAGACGGCAGCATAAATAAGACACATCATATCAAAATGAGGATTAAGTCAAATTTGCTCAAAATAACCTTATTACATTTTCAGATTCTTGCTTTAAAAGCTACATTTTGATAAGTGGATCATTCTGATACCATAAACTTATCCAAAGATATGACTTAATTTGTCTTGTTGGTTACTATAATACATTACTGTTTGGTCTGAATCCTAATTTTATGTAAATTTATTCAGTCATTTTTGATGTTAATATAAAGAGGAAACCTCAAATATTATTTGTATATTAAGATTTCTCAGTGGGAAAGAAACAACATTTCTAGCTCACAGGGAAAGTTTCAAAATTTTAAGACGTGCTACTGCTCAAAAAATGCTTCAAAATTTTTTTTGGATTACATTTGAGACAATTCATTCAAATGATACATTGATAAGGCATTAATACATTATATTTTTATAAAATGCAATTGTGGCACACATTTAAATCTAAACCCAATATCTGCCCATTTCTCCACATTCCACTTTTGAACTTAATCCTCATTTCAATGTGATGGGTCACATATGGGGATTTTAAGAGTAAAGACATGATTGTGAAAATGAATAATTTTGTGATATTTTTCAGTTAAACCACATGAAGCTGGCTTCAACTGTCTGCTGAAGCATGTTACACACACAGCATCACAAAGTAACAAGACATGTCATTTTCTGTCCTCCAAAATAATCAGAGATTAATCAAGATGTTTGAACAAAATGACTTTAACGTTTTAATGGTTATGGTGTTAATTAATGCAGGATGGTTCATTTTCATATGTTTTATATTATTAGTTCAGCATTTAATCATCTTTATCTCAAGACAGAACAAGAAATTAAGAAATATTAACTAGAATATATGGTCAGCATCAATAAATGACTGCCCAGATAGCAAAAGATGTTAATTCAATGTTGAATTATGGTCAAAAAAGTTTATTTTTGGTTAAGGCTGATGATTGGTAGTCAAATAACCAAAGTTGAAAAGATGTTTTTGAATCAGTGTTGTTTCATGGTTGAATTCTAATGATTGAAATGTCAGAAACATCTAATCAATGATGAATCAACGTATGCTGTTTGTCGCACACCTCCTTCCTTCCTTCGGGAGGAGCAGGGAGAGGAGGAAAAGAGGTTGAATCAACATTTCTATAGTATCAGTTATGATTGAAACCTAACGTTATTTCAACAAGTCAGTCACCAACCACTTTTTGTATAATTTTAACATGGATTCAGTATCATACCTGACCATATTTCAACATTAATTCACTCATATATTGCTGTCTGGGTATAGAACAAGAACTAGAACATAGACATATTACATATTATTATGCTCTCAAATTGAAAATATACGCTCATGGATTAAGTCAGGATAATCTTTCCATATACATCTGGATGACGCTTCAGACGGTGAGAGGCGAGGATGACCCCAAATTTGGCTGATTGTTTTTGTTTTTTTTTTGTTTTGTTTTTTTTCGCCACTTCAGAGGTGCAGTTAAAACATTTTTAAAAGTGGCAGGAAATTCAAGGCTGCTTTGTTCCAAAATAATTGGATTCTATTTGGCTCCCAGCGGCACGGCCTTGATGGCAGTGTTTATCTCAATCTCTCCAGGATGGAATGTCAACAACGGCTTGATCCCCTCCCACCCCTATGACCCGTGCTTGTCCTGGCTCTGGAACCCAAGGCCGAGGAAGAGAAACTCTGAACTCTGGCTAAATGAGCAGGAGACAATAACATCATGTGACTCTGGACTCTGGAGGTGGTCAGGGTTGGGACCCTCCTCCCTAAACGTCACCTACTCCTCTGATCTCGCCCCATCTTACCTCCCCGCTATGTGTTATCTGATCTAAGACCCCCTTCAGCAACCTTCAGTTGCTCAACAGTCCAGGGGTCTCTGTTGTCGGGGTCTCCACACATTTTCAACAGGAGACAGGTGTGGACTGCAGGCAGGACAGTCTAGTTCCTGAACTCTTTTATTTTGAAGGTGCGCTGCAGGAACACATAAAGTGTCTTCAATGTCTTGCTGAAATCAGCAGGACGTTCCTGAAAAACACGTGTCTTGGATGTTAACATGTTGCTCCAAAACCTGGATGTAGCTTTCAGCTTTAATGGAGCCTTCACAGATGTGACAGTTAC